GATGTACGCTCAAGTCATCGAAGCAGCGTTCTTCCTCTGCCAAACGCTCCGCGTGACGCACCAACTCCACAAGGTTTCTGCGATGTAAAGGTTGAAAACACGACCGTGGTTGTCTCTCTTCCCAACTGTTTGAATTATACTTCCTGCTTTCAGAAATTCGCATATGCGTCTTCAAGAATTACATCTCGCGTTTAATCACTACTTTCAGATGCCTTCGCTGATAACCTTAGCTCTGCAATGAGTGGCAGTGAAATGGAAATTTGGCCCCCTTAGCTTATTATTATTAAGCCATAAAACGTCTCAGACGAAGAGCCGTCATGAGGGATTGAAGTTGTGAAAAATCATGGTAGAAGAACCCAGAAAATGATGACAATCAGTTAAAAAAGTATCTTAATTTTAACTCCCCTCTCAAGACTTGCAACGGAGCAATGAAAAGATTTTATTGAGCACACACATCCGGAAATAACAGCTTACGGGAAGGAAGCAGTGGAGACCGACAATATGGTTTCTGATATGAGAATAGCCCGAGTAAACGATTTGGTGCTATTAAACTATCAATGATGTGGAAAGGAAGAATGCAGCTGGTCCGAAACGCGGATATGTGAAAAACCCAATCTGTCAACTATGCTAGCAGACACGATGCGAGAACGAAATAGCTTAGGGCTGGCGAAAAAAAATCAGTTAATCAGTTCTAACATGAATGCCATTCCTCCATCATGTAGTAAGATAAGTCATGACCAGTAGAAAAACCAGTTCAAACTATCATAATTTTGGACACGCACTGAAAAAAAATGACAGTAGGAGCGCTTGAATAAATATATGCATTGCAATAGAGACTCAAAAAAATCCAAAAACTCATTCCCCTTTGCGGGGCAACCCTTTTTTAGTGTCACACTAACAAATCGGAGGTTTGACAACCGCATGACGCACATTTGCTGGGTGCACGGGCGTCGGATATACCAGGACAATGACCACTACTCATCTACCTTTTCAAAAACTTCTTAAACCGCTTTTTTTTGGTTATTCTTCGGGGAACAGTCAGAGAAATTCTTTTTCATGGTAAAGTGCTCTATATCAGCCACACCAGCATGGAAGTTTTCAGACTTTTAAATTATTAGTTTAGACTTGTACCACTTCCGGTTTACGATATAAATAAACTAATTTGACCATTTCATGCACAATATGAACTGAATACAGGAAGTACAAAACATAATTTACACAGTCACATCTTGGAATCAACTCCAGCTGCCTCAGCCACAAACGGTGTGACATCAAGTATGCAGTGGTGGTCCGATCTTCGTTCCACACCACCACATGAGTAGGCAAGATAACATCATCTGACTACGTTTTGTTCATAGGACACCCCTCGCTGTCCGACAGATAAGAATAAGTGCTAGTTCTAGGTTGAAACGAAACGCTATGCATAAGAAGTGCCGTTGAAGATTACCGCTAAGAAATGTGGCAATGTGAAAGTGGGGTCAAGGGAAGAGAATCACACGACACATCCAATAAAGCGCCTCTGAGCATATTTATTTAAAATAAAATAATTTTCCTACACAGCCACTTACCCTTTGTTATGTCCTATTTTTCAGGGTTTCAACAACTTTTAACACTAGCCTAAACGAATACTCTACCGGTTCTTTGTTCCCGGCCCTGGTGCGCCTATTTGGATGAATCAGCCGCACTGTTCTTACCTCACTCCTCGCGACTATCACCGCAGCTAGGTAGATGGAGAGATTTGCATTTGTCGTGCAAGAGCAACCACTCGTATAAGACTCAGGGGAAGGGAACATTATCCCAATCTTAAGTACCCAGACTGATGACTATGAACTGATGCTGCCCCAAGAGAGTGGTATAACACTGTTGCCTCTGATGAAAATTATGCTAGATAGTACGAAAATTATTCAGATGTCCTTTGTATCCTAGAAATGACAACCCGAAATGATTAATTCTATTTACTCGCCTATGGAGTTCTTTTGGCCCCCTGTAAAATCGTGAGGACTTAAAGAAAATAACAATTGCACAGTGGCATTCCCCAATAGCTGTTAATTGGACTTTCCCTTACGATTTTGGATTTGAACTAAACGAAAACACAAAGGCATCTTGTAAATGAGAGCACACTTGCTGATATTACCACATTGTTTGCTTTCTTGAAGAGAGATTATACATATTTCTATCTTTCTTGATGCCAGCTTGACATCTCACATGCACCTTGCTGACGCTTGACCTATATTGGTTTTAAGCCAAGGGTCATGCACCAGAGTAACAAAAACATTAGCACGGATAAAGTTAAAAGCCTAGCGTAAACCGTAACTTAAGCAGCCTACATTTAAAGTGACCAAATGACCCAGTCTTTATGTGCAAAGATTAGGAAATACATAGCAGCTCCTCGATAAATGAATTGAATGAACGTGCAGCAATTTAAGCAGCCACAGCAGATTTACCTCGATTCAATAACGCTTGGTACGATGATTTGCATCCGCATAAGGCGACTGACTACTGTTACAAAATTGCATAAAGTTCAGGCTAATACTAAGACTAATAGGTAAAAAAGGGTACCGATGCAACTACCCTTGTTCGACCAAAGCTGTGGTCAACTTTGGTAGAGAAAAGGGAATTTCTCCACTTACTACCACCTTTTATAGGGATTCAATTCACTTTCACCTATTTTCCAAAAAACGGTTAAAATGCCATTTATTAAAGTAAGCAAAACTGTCTACTATCCAATTATAGGCAGTATGTTCTAAAACCACCTAGAAATACTGGAAAATCATGTCATACTACTAAAGTGGCATATAAGTAGACGCAGCTTACTCAGCACGGTCTTCGAGCAGAACGATGGGCTGAGCGCCGGCACGCAAGCCGTGCGCGAGGATGGAGGCGAGACGAGCCCACTTTTTCAAGGGCTGCGTGGAGGCCTTCTCAGGAAGATGCTGGATGTGCTCTATCCAACTGATGTAGAATTTAGCGCTCAGTGTGCCCACCCCTTTGTAGAAGAGGAGATTGAAGAGTTCTGTGGGGGCATCACAGTAATTCACCTGGTGGAGTGTAAAAATGAAAATATACACCTTTCTAGCCTCCACACAAACAGACCCGATGCTGATATTTTAGTTATTTCCCACGAATCCGTTTACACCGCCGGCTGCGAGAGGTGGTGCTAGTGGTCACGCAGTCCCTCTGAAACTTTACAATAAAGCTATTTCCAGCCTCGTGTGCCCCACAACGTCTTCTGGGATAAATTGGGTGTCACATCTTCATTGTAACTGTGGGTTATACACACCCGATTCTTAGAGGATCACTGAGAGCAAATTTAACTCACCAACACAGAGAGAATATTTAAAAATAATGCCCAAGTGATTGAAAAGGAAGTTGGCGTTGAACTGCTCCGACCAGACACTCCGCACAATGTAGCACTGAAAGAATTCCGATTGGTTCAAGGCAAAAAAGTTCATTCCCAAGGAAAAAGGCTTCTTTCACATTGTTCGCAAGGAAAACTCAACGCCTCCCCTCGTGACAAAGTAAATCAACTAGGCGATTGGGTACTAGCATAATATTAAAATGTGAAAACATAACGACACTCAGGATATTGAAATCCTTTTGGCCAACGACGAATTCAATTAGACGAATTTGGCTTTCGGACAAATGCGCTTGGCGCTCAAATGAATTTGTTCGGTGTCTTTCGCCCAATTAAGAATGTGATGGAACTAATTTAATCAAAATTCATCAGAAAACATGCAAGATTTAAAAAGAAAAATCGTTCAAAACACTTTTATGCCCTTTAAACGTATTTTTTTAAAATAAAGTTTCATTAATTCATCATTCGTCGTTTAGCCTTCTCCATGACCATCTATTGCTGAAAGATCATCAACTCCTTCGCTTGTATTTATGTTTCTCCTCCATCGGATTCGCTATTCAGCATCACGTGTTGACTTCGTCCAACTTTTTAAATCACTCAGACGACGTCGTGAATGGTGATATTATTCTTTACTTGGAGCGAGTGCTTAATCAACAACACTGAAAACTCATAGAGGAACGCTTTCTCGCATTGGGAATAAGTTTTGCAACCGGAGGATGTAAAGTCCTGCTATGGCGTCCTACAAGAAAAGTCATCATGCCAGACAGAATCAGGCATATGGTGGTGGTATAAGCCAAAAATTGTCACCATTTGAACATGAAGTTTTATTTTTGTCGTAATTTTTAATTACTAATGCCAATATGATTAAAATGTTTACTTCTATCCAATCCTCATTGTAGTCCTAGGAGAGGTAGGCATTGTCAAAGAAGTTTAATAAATTAAGGAAGTATTGAGAAACGGTTGATATTCACACAAGCACTGCTTTCCGAAAACTTCAAAATGGAAGTCTTTCAGAAACAGCCAATTTGCTTGCTTAAGCCTGGCTGTGATTAGTTGGCTGAGGTCATGGGTACAAAAATGCAGGAAATCGTAGGGGCAAAGTCCCTTTTCCGCCTTGTTAGGTACATAAATGAGTGTCAAGTGCACCACCAACTTGATACCTTCAGAAGAGTTGTTAGAACCTTGATTATATGAAAACAGTGCGGACAATTTGTACGTAAGTCTAGACTGTGGTCGGAAATGCAATGAGACATCAAGAGGAGAGTGTTTTGCCTGTTATGATAGCCGCTATTCACACAGGCAGTTAAACAGCGGCGCAGAATTTAGAAAAAGTGTAACCTCCCCGCGTTATTCGATTCATTTGGCCAAACTCTATTTCTACGATAAAGTTATGTGAATTGTTAGCTTTCAGCGCTACAATCTCAATGAAATTTCTGATAGGGGATGTCATATTAGCGTCAGTTTCTATCTACAGCAAGAAGATTGCTACAAATGGTATGTCAAGTGTTGCGAATAAACGTTGAAACACTTGTGTCTATGCTCCTCTGTCAACACTTTCACACATTTATGACTGCAATGAATTAGACCACAGACTGAATTCGCCGCTTAATCTGAAGGGACTACTTCTCTGTCAGACCCACTTACCTTCTTGAAACCCCCTTTTACCTGCCACTAATCAAAGGACAAGCAGGTCCAACGGTCGAGGTCAAATTCAATAGGAACTCCAATTCTCCTTTTCGCCAAGACATATCAAACCGCTCATCCGCCTCCCTGTGGATGCAGATGGACACCCAAGGTGGTTTGTATCCCTCCCACCAATACAGTCACTTTCGAATTTTTCGATACTATACGTGGAATGGAGTATATAGGCTATTCATGCGTGCATTGCAACCACCTTCAATATTATCAGGACAGCACGTACCTTTCCCGTAATTCTTTCGGTGGAAAGGTCAAACACATCCACTCCACAAGCATTGGTACGAGACGGCTTTCAGCACAGAAGAATTGAACGTTGAATAAGCTGGAAGAGCGCTTTGAAGAGGGAAGGATTTCCTCCCTTGCATTACTGATTGTGGGGGAGTCTGAGTTGACTGCTTCACCCCAGGATTAGAATGACCATCAAATCAGTGCAAACGTGCGGGTTCACTACCACCGCTGGCGAAGTGAAGCAGAGCGTCCTACGATGGTGCCTTAGCTCCTTCCTAAGTAGTAGTTACGCACTGAAGCTAGTGCATCAGCACAGTAGAAGACTACGAGGAAACCACACCCCATTCGTACCACTCGACACCCATTTTCTTGTGTAAACTCAAAAGCATCGGTTCGGCTTAAGTCGACCCAACTTAAGCCCCATACAAGGTCGATCGAATCGTCAGGCGGAGGTGGTGACGTAGCGCAGTGGAATCCAAATAGAGTAGCAGCTAGCTCACCAGCTTGAGCCAGGCGTCAACGTAGATGGGGTGATTGTGGACGCCTTCCAAGCCGCAGGTCTCCTTCACACATCGATAGAGGATGCTACGAAGCTCAGAGGCGGCGCCCAGAGAGGGATAGGTCTCTTCCACCCAGCGAATGTATCTGCAAAGGGAGGAGGGGTCATAGTCAGCAATGGAATTACAATTTTTACGCATCATAAGCAATCTCGGTCCCATTTGACCTATTAGCTTTTTCAGCCAGAACATAAAAACTTCTAGTCTAGCAGGAACTTCGAAAAGTAGAGAATTTTTAATTGCCTTAGGTGCGATTTCTCCGATGGAGTGCTTTTGAAAGTGGTGTATAACGCCAGCTCCTTCGTGGCTTAAGGCAGAAAAAAGGCCCATTCCTTGTCAGAGATGGATAACATGCGGCAAATAATCATCGTACTTGGTTCTTCTTCATTTGACCTATACAACCTACAAGTGGATAGTTAGAAATCCTCATGAACACGCCACCTCTGACGTGTCAAACTATACTTGGGGCGTCGTTCAAGGGGCTGATAGCAAGCGAACCCAAAAACGTAGACCATTTTACCAGCCAAAGCAATCTTATGCTTCATTAACTCGCCTCAACCCTTTCCGACTCAATGTGAAAGCTTCGAAGCCAGCACGAAAAACAATAGAGTACACAGCTACATCGGTGCAAGGGATCACAAGATCCTCAGGCAAAAGCTTAGCAAATACAACGGACAATCTTGTTAAATATCTTCCGCAAATTTTCCTTTAAGGCAAAACGAATTTCATCGACAATCGGATGGCGTCGATCACAGTGAGTTCATTCAGCATTACCGGTAAAAATATGCCAAACTAGTTCCAGTCCTGTTGCACTTACTTTCGCTTTAGCTTCCAGCTAAAGGATTCAGGAGCATCACAGATGACGAAAAAGGCATATTGGAAACGTGATCCAGCTGTCTAGCTACTTGGCCAGCAGCAAAAGCTCCAAGATCACCCAATTCCTATGCCAACAGTTCAGTATTATTAACATGGAAAGTGTGGCCATTGTATGATATCAAATAGCCTTTTCAAGCGTTGTTAAAGCAAAAAATGGTGAAAAGACTTTCAAGATAAATGGCAGCTTAGAAAACAAAAAGATAGTGATGAAATCAAACCTAAATAGGATGGCTCGACATTTTACTCGTCTTCAGTTGTTAATGTTGACGCCAAGTTCCAAAACCAAAGGTGTCAAAATTGCCCCTCCGTAGAGTAGACATCTCTAAACGAAGAATTGTTACTTACTGCATTTATAACAAGTCTACAAACGTCGTCATAGCCAAAATCAAGGCATGTTTGAGCTGATGTCAACAAATGTCACCTGCTACGCCTGAGCTTCATCAGAAAGCTATTAATAAAATCTGAAATAGTTGTGGAGTAAAGATAACAAATTAAGCGACAGGTGATAAAGTAAATAACATCGGTAAAGCTAAGCCAGTGTAAATTGTAAATCACTTTTGTATAAGACTGGTTAAATTTAAACACTGCATTTAACATAAACAACTATGAAAAATCTCAGTACCGCTAGCATTGGGAGCAAATTTCCACGCGCTAGCGTTTCACCTCCTGAGATAGGTGTTTAAAAATCCACCTTTCAAGTTAGCCTGGAACCGCTACCGTTTTTATTCTTTTGTTTTCAAAAAATAACTGCAGGATGTTTTACACCGCCTTTTAGTTTAGAAAAAAATCAACTCCACACCAGTTAACATCAAAAATATTTAGGACAAAGATGTCAAGGTACCAGTGGACTGATTGTAAAAGAATCGGTCATTAGAGCATCATGAAAAGTGGCTTGGAGGGACCTCAAGACTACCCACATACCACCGTTTTCAGAGCACTACTTCAAGCTTAAAGATACGTCGTGTGTCACGTACGCTTGGCTTGAACTAATGCAGGTTGAAATATTTGCACTATTTAAGTGGTAAGGGAAATAGGTTTGACGGCTCATAAACACCTTCCACCTCTGACTGCTCGGTTTAAGTATTGCTTTAGACACACCTTAGCACTACTTTCGAGGTTCAGGTTAGATACTATCTTTTTTCAAAGTAAAAGCGTTCAGAACATTTACCCCAAGACATGAGTAAGTCAGTGGTATATATCACTTTTTACTGAGAGCCCTATCAAACAACCATCGAGAAGCGAGTTATTTTGTGAAAAAAGAGTTGTAGGCAGGTAAGCTTCGCTACATAAACTAAACAGGAGTGAACTAAAAAAGGATGTCAGCTTTATCAGTAGTGAAAAGCACACATTAAAGTGCGTGGGAATTCGCAGTTATAATTACGACCGGATTGGTCTGCATTAAGTTATAAAATATGCTATTAAACTTCATAAACAGGCAACAAAGTAGACAGTACTCTCCTCGAAATCAGTCCTTTACTATGACCGCTACATTGTTAGGCGCAATGAATTTGGCAAGGAGGATAACTTTTGTTCCGAAGAGGAAAGGAGCAAACTCAACGTTCTGGACTAAAACGGCTTCAGACAGCGACAGGAAGTACAGTCACAGCCTTTCAATTCACATTTGCCAAGATGATGACCTCTCTTGGCATTATGGACAAGGGGTCAAAACTTTCGTGGGATTCTAGAGGCACAGAATCCGTGAAATTGGGCACTAAGTTTTATGCACATCATTCTTCAAAGGCTCTTAATAACCATTTCAAAGATGGGTTCAAAGTAGTGATTAACCCTTCTTAACTTTTCATTATTTATTGCGATACAGACAGCTCTACCCATTAACTACGGATGGACGCACAGTACAGTAATGAAGTGAGAATGATAGCACTTATGCAAATCCGACATGGAAGATAAACTAGATGAGCTAGAAGCAGCTCTAATGGCCAACAATGTAGCAAATTTGCAAGATAAATAAGGCGCATGACCAAAGAGAAAAAAGGGAAGCGAAGTGAATTTGGCCACATTGTAATTTTACAATCAACCAGTTAAACGGAGTGATGGCGGAGAGGCCTCGGAATTATGCAGTCAAGAATGAAATGATTGACGCTGATGAAGGTACCGTGAGAGCCTCCAGCCAATTTCAAAGAACTACTAACCTGCGTTTCCGTTTACAGTAAGCATAAAACAACAACAACTGAAGTACGACAGCAGGTGAAGTTTAGGATTTTGTATTCCAGATAGCTAGTTGGGAGGGTCAAATTTCTATGCTTGGTTAAATACTTTCAGTTAAAATGCACTCTAAACAATCGCACAGGTAAAGAATGTAGGTAGTAAAAGAGGGGGCGAGTTGAATATATTACATGTATGCAATGGAGATATTGGCTACTAGCTTATCAATTTTTCATAAGATTTGCTGAAAGCCTGTATACACTGGATTATTCTGTGCCAAAAAAAACCATACCCCAGCACATGAGTGGCATTTTTGAATCAAGGTTAAAAATTATCAAATACCACCAAATAGCCATTAATTTATGGTGCTTTCGGTACCATTTATGAGAAAAAAAAATTCCACCAAAATTAGTTGGCTGGTGTTTGGAAAGGTACATTAGAGGGGAGAACTCAGTGGGACTGACCAGTAACGGGCAGAATAAATTCAGATAAGACAACTTTATTCACACTGATCATTCCGCCGGAAAAAAGTGACAACTCTAGAAGTCTAGCAAAGGGGAATTCTCAAGTCTTTGTATCAAACCTTTTGCTTCGATCACCATATTTAATGCGTGCGTAATCCTAATTATTTCATCCAAGGGTGTCACTTCAGTAAAGCGTCTGATTCCCTTTACCTCTCACTACTTTCAGTGAGAATTCAAAAAACGTTGCTATGTAAATAAAATCGGCCAATTGATGTGGAGGAGTGACAACAAACGCATCAATCTGATGTTACAAAGAGCAAATTAGCCGGAATTGTACTTCACAGATTTAAATATTCTAAGAAAAGATCTCCCCATACTACTCCTTTAAAAAAACACCTCAAGTCTCCCTGTTTAATAGGATCAAGTAACAACAAAGAGACGGGTGGCTGAACAGCTTTAAATCGCAAAGAAAAGCAGAACAATCAAGTCTGAAGGAAGGTTTGTTGGAAAAGGGACCGACATAACCGATGTAAAGTTCAAACAATACGGTGGGGTTGCCAGATGGATCTCGTTAAAGCCGTGATGTTTGGAAGTCGTGAGATTTTAGATCCCGTCACAGGTTTAAATCAGCTTCATTCAAACGGTGATATAGTGAAAAGCACAGAAAAGTAACAACAATGGATGATGATGATGATGATGATGATGATGATGATGATGATGATGATGATAACGACGTGCAAAACAAGAAGAAGGTTAGTTTTGTGCATCTCTCCTCTCACTGATAATGCACTAGGCAAGTGCGAACCTGACACAAAAACACATTCAGGTTACTGAACACCGGCCCTGCGTTGCCATGCAATCAAGGTGTGGGGAAGCAATCCGATTAGCCGTGGCAGCGATTTCACAAGTACTAATTACGATTGAAGAGGAGGGAGAAACAAGCAAAGTTATGCAACCACCGGTGGCCAGTCGCTCAGCTTTCGAAGAAAAAATGGAAATTCATTTTCCACCCCGATAAAGGGAGTCAAAATGACCAGACAGCTGTCAGATTTGTAAGCTATTGGTGATCGATGAAGGGTAGGTGTCAATCATCGAAACGACCAATGACTGGCACCCAGACCAACTCCATTTTATTTATATTAATTTCTAACCTTGAGCGCAAGTCCCAATGAGCGAAAAAAAAATGCTACGAATCAAATTAAAACCACAGAATAAGGAGCAGAACTACGATAAAAAAACAAAAAAAAAGACGATAGAGGCTGCTTGGTCTGCTAAAAAACCAATTTTAGCACATGAAGACATCGTAGGCTTTGGTTAAATTTTAAATAGATCGAAACCAACCTTTAATTCCGGCGTAATCAAATCTCAACAATCACCAAAGCCTTTTGGAGTTTAGCATCGCGACAAATTTCAGGAGATATTTACCCGGGATTGGAGTGACTTCAAAAGATGTTTAAAAATAAAGACCTTACATTTGCTTAAACATTCCAAATTGCCTACCACCGGACTCCAATTCAGCCGGATATTGCAACTTAAACAGACGATTTCGGGAACTTTTTTATCCCAATTCCGGCATCCAATCACATCACCTCTAACGTCTTCTTTTCAACTAAAAAATGGAGCAAGTATTTTGAAAAAGGTGGAATTGAAAATGTCGAGGCTGCAAAGCATTCACAATTAACATTTGCCGATGGCAAAACTGGATTTTTGAAAGCATGTGTGATGAGTGTATACCGCCCGTTTCACCTCTGCCGAATTGGTTTATATGACCTCGGAGGTATGTATTATTGTGTTTTCTTATTCAAAGCAGTTGTGTAACACAGAAATGGACAACTCTACTGGAAGCCCGATGACTAGCTGGTAAACAATATGAAAGTCTTGAAAAACACCCGCTATTAATAAGTTGATATTACAGAAGAAATTCTAGGATGCATAACTCTACTATCAATCGGGTATGATAATTTCAATCTACCTTTAAAAGACATTTCTAGCAAATGAAAAATATCACTACTGATGGCCTTAAAGGATGTTCTTGCAAATGGTTCACGTTGTATAACCACTAAATCTCCCACTCATATGCACTGCAGCCTCCTCGATTGTAATGGATCACCTTAAACAACAACTTTACAATTGTTGTTAAACAAAATAACAAGGTTTAAGGCACCTTCTGTTCGCATTTACCCCGATTCAAGTAAAAAATGGCAGCTTGGCCATAACAATAGTTAGCAAAAGTCCATGGAGTCCAAAACTACTCCTTGTTGTGTAAATAGACGTATGTGAAATTCTCAATTAAGCTGACTGAGTGATACAAAAAACGTCTTAACTCTTTGTTCGAAAAAATAGCATAGTATAAAGATAGCCACTAGGTATCTTAGGAAAATGACTCTGAACGGAAAAAGGTGCAAACTCTGTGCAAAACTAGTAATAAATAAATACTAATTATACCAATAACGGATTGCCAAGGGGTTGGTTAGAGCTATAAAACTGTAGTTAAAAAAAGGAAATCACTGCTACTACTCCCAAAGTCTTTCCGTACGACTACAAAAGAAAGTACTTTAGCGCTCACGCCCCTGATAGTCCCTTCAAAAATAAATCCGTGTGAATGTGGTTTCGAGGACTTGAGCGCACACC